CTTTATTTGTCAAAAAGATCATGCTGAGAATGAACTTGCTAAGACAGGGAACCTACTGGGGTGAAGAGTAAAGAGGGCAGTTCTAGGTTAGCAATCGAAACATGGTTGAATGCACAGGATGAAATGTTGAATGTCTCTGTGGGGATGGACAGATTTATTCCTTGTGGTTCCATTTTCATTTTCTTTTTTAAAAAGTTCAGGTTCTTTCCATCCATGTACAGGAATTGAAATGTGTGGAATTTGCTATTTTTTAAAAAGGAAAATAAAATTTCATTCATATGAGATATAAATATTCCAAACAAATAATGAAATATGTGGTGCTATTAAGGATTGGGCAAAATTTATATAGATGTTTATTTATTTATTTGTTTGTTTATTTATTTTTAGATCAAATTTGTCACCACCCATCTCACTGAAACAACTCTGGGCGGCTTACAAAGTGGTTAAAATCAATTAAAATTGCAATATACAATAATCTTAAATACATAAAGAATAAATAGATCCAAAGATAGATATTAAAACTGGCGTCACTCAGGGAGCATCATCAAGGTGCCACCCACCCCAGGATTGCATAAGATTGTTGTTACCCCACGCAAGCCCCATAGTTAAACATATAGACATGCAAAGCCATAGTTAAACATATAGACATCAATTCATAAGATGAACTGAACCTTTAAATCTTGTCCTGGACATCTTTGTTACAATTTGGACCGTTAAGGTAGTATTATCCTTTTTTTGGGGGGGGGGGTTAATTTTATTGAAGTTTTTAATAAACATAGTAAAAACTAATGCAAACTAAACTAGAAGAAAGAAGAAAAGTAAAGTACAGAAAGTCCAGAAAAAATAAAAAATAAAAAAATAAAAAAAAATAAAAATAAAAATAAAAAAGTAGAAGAGAAAAGAAAAAGCAACAAAGACAATATTAAAGAAGTGGCTTCCAACCTTCATCACACGGAGCATAAGCTAATATACAACATCAGTTTTTTTTCACCCTCTTTTAAAGTTACAAATTAAAATTAAAAAAAAAAAACTCTTTTCCCCATAGCCTAACTTTATCTATACACAATCCAGGAATCATAATCTTTTCAATCCTAGTTCAGAAAAAAGTCCATTAGAAATTACTAGAAATATCAAACAAATGGTTTATCCCTGGTTAAATAGTCCAACTTTATGTTCCTTCTTTTTGCTCTGTACAAGCTTGACCTTTAAATCATTCCTATGGCATCACAGGATTTGATCTTTCATCACAGTTTGGTATTTAAAAGAAGTCTTCAAAGCTTTCACCAGCCTACTTTGTAAGTCCCATAAAGAGGCATCATCCAGAATTTTTTGTCACAACTGTTCCATGTCTAGATCCTTTTCTTGATTTGTCTTTTGTGTTCCCATTTTGGTAATCTCAATTTTGTTGTCTTCCATGCCTTCAAACCCTACAATATCTATGTCAGGTAAAAGTTTTTGAAAATTTTTCTCATCATCTTCTAAAAGTTTATCCACTGAAATCTGTATCTTTCTGAGATATTAGTTATTAATATTCAGCCCATGTAAGAAACTTTCAAGATAAGGGAAGGTTATAGCCAGCTTAGCCATTTTAACTCTTTTCTGCCTGGTCCTTTAGTTCCCTCTGGTGTCCATTTGCAACCTTTATCAAGCCTCAGGTCCTAATATGGATTTAGTTCTGTTTCAGTCATTTCCCACAAGTATATTATTTACGTGTATACTTTTTCTCACTCATAGCAAAAATAACCATTATTCCAAATGTCTCTGGTCTCCCAATCTGTTTAGAACTTTCTTAAATCAAAGGCATTCTCTTCTCTTCTCTTCTCTTCTCTTCTCTTCTCTTCTCTTCTCTTCTCT